CCCCCCCCATTTTCAGCCAATATGGGACCTGCGGTTGGGCCACGAAGACTTCCTCCAGTCCCCCTTGTTCCCAGTGGTCCTCTCCGTGGTCTTTTACTTTACTCTCTGTCTCCCATTCATGATGGTCGACATTCTGTGCAGGAACCAGGCCTGGTATCTCAAGTACAAGATACAGCCAGAGAAAAAGGTATTGCACTTTTTAACCTTAGAATTTGTGGTGGTTTTTTTGTAGTTTTTGAGATACATGTAATTTTACTGCACTTGCAATATAAATACGTCATATTACATCGTAATATACATGTCGAAAATTAGAAGTGCTACTTAAGAGTAACATACAAAAGAAAAAAAAAGGAGAAGGAAGAGAGGTAAGGGCGAATGATAAATAAATGTTTGAAAAGAACGAAGGGGCAAACTGCACCAGAGCACCTGCCAGCAACCAACAATGTGTTTGTAAATCTTGTTTCACACCTCCATTGTCACAGAGATGATAGCTTAGAGGATGGGCTGCTGGGACCATGCCTGTAAGGGACAACTCGCTGAAAAAGGATAGAGCATCCCAGCAGACATACAGAGATACTCGATTAACAAACAAACAAACAATCCCCCCCCCAAAAAAAACAACAACAACAAACAAAAACAACAACCCAACCCCAAACAAAACTCAAACCCAAACCAAAACAAAACAAGCAAACGACAACAACAACAAATGCTCTACATGGTAAGTATCGAGCTGTCTTCTACTTGTAAACACGAGAGGAGAATAACCATTACATGGCAGACGTCGATCATAATTTAATTCAGTTAAACACAATTATTGAAAAAAGTCGGTCGTTTACACTCGGACATGTTAAACAAACACCCAGAAGATTTGGAAAATTTGTCTGAGATTTATTAGCCGGCCGAGTTTTAACGTTTTGAGACCAGATGTCGGTCAGAGAACAAGAGAGTCACAGCAATGGCATATGTGGAACTTTCTTCATTTAAGAACTTTGGGGAAAATGTAGAAGGGAAATTAATGAAAAGCTAAAGAAAATGAAGCAGCAAATAATAATGAAGATGGTGATGTATTTCTAGTTCAGGTTCATTACTAATTAGTGAAATTAGGTAGGTAATTAGGGACATATATGTCGACAAATTCTTGCCAAAGATAGGTTATTGACAGATGTCTAAAAGTCGTTCGGAGACTTGTGAACACCAAATCGTGTCATTACTGGTCTCACCGGGATGAGAGGACTGAGGGGCAGGAGCGGTCAGGCTGAGGGAAAAAAAGAGTCCATGTTAGTTTGTTTCGTTACGGCACGCAGGGTGTGTGTCTCTGCCTGTGTGTGGGCCGGCCGGATCGACGCTTGACCATTGGCGTCGGGTGCGGGCTGACCTCCACCGGCTGTGTTGCTCCCATGGCCACCTTTTTATTTCTGGCCGTAATGGTACAACGTAGGCCTCCAATGTCCAACCTGAAAATCTTGGGGTTGAGGGGGGACATCAATGTGGACAAATCGTCTACCAGACTTGAACAAGGTCAACATACCTTCTTTGTCCCTGTAACTCTCCTCGTTAAATTTTGAACGAATGGCAGCTCCCTGTAGTTTTTAAAATTATTGTTCAATTTCTTCATTGGACACTGACAACGGAATGTTGCCAATACATGATTTTCACCGTGGGGGAGTCTTTGGTTCCTTTCGTTACTGTCGGGATGACGCTGGGGATAGCGACAAAAATTGTGTTTATGATGATACCCTTAATAATGAGCTGGTTCCTTGCCTGAACCGTAGCAGGGTATATCCTCCACAGTCCTCCGATAATACTGCCCTCACCTGCAACCTGCTCACAGACCTTACACACTTGGTAGAGCTGTACCCCGGTAGCTAATCCGCTCGTGCTCGCAAGCCCCTAGTTCAAGTCACAAACCTCAAATCACTAGGTCAATTCATCAAATCAAATCACCAGCATGATAAGTTGAGCCTAGCCTAAGCTTCAAGTCCACATCAACTAGCAATCCTCGAAGCCAGAGACCCCCTCATCCTCCCCACCCTGCTTGCAATCCGTGAAGCCACTTACGTCAGAAAAAGAGAGAGAGGGGGAGAGAGAGAGAGAGAGACCCCGCTCAAAATGTCACTGCGCGGTTTAGCGCTGGAGTCTGCTCGATTAATCGAAGGCTTGCGAGCAACAGACGGCCGTCAAGTCTCAAATCTGGCTCCCAGCACAGCAAATCCCTGAGTCTTATTGTTTTGCTTTGTGCCAGTGACTTGCTAGCAGCCTGACAATGCTCTCAGCTCCCATTATTTGCTTTGGTTCCCAGGACCAGCTCGCAACCTGGCAGGCCACTCGGCTGATTTGCTGCAGCAGCGAGCACAAGACCGCTCGCAGTGTGAACTCTGAACCGTGGAGGAAGGGAGAGGCTGTGCTTGATTTGGTGCAAAACGTAGAGAGCCGAAGCTATTTTTAACTTCCCATGTTGATCAGCTTAGCTAGTGGATAAGTGTGAGGAATCGTGGTATTATAGTAACAGAGACCTAGGTTTCTGGTAGTAATAAGTAAACTTACATTACCCTAAAATGGAAAACTCCAGGGGTCGTTGTGATTGGCTTTTGTATCATTTGTATGTAACCTTTTTTGTAAATGTTTTACACTCACAGTGACATAATATAGAACATTTAGGAGACGGGCTACTTCAACACAATGCCAGGGCCAACATTGGCTGAGAGGGAAAAACGCCCCAGCAGAAAGACGGAGGTTGTCAGTAAAAATTTCTCCCCATACGGGAATCGAACTGAGGTCTTTTGCGTCATAAGAATAGCTGATCCATTATTAATTGTTTAGTGCATTGAATAGAGCTTTTTATTTTTTTACAACCCGAACAACAATCGTCCACTTTGGTTCAAGCCTCTCAAGGCAAATAACTAGAATCTTCTGTAATATGTACTGAGTCCACAGCCACGAGAGTTCGTGACGTCACGACACAGTACAGCAAGACTGTCCGCGAGTCACAACACACCGGAAGTTCTCTCCGGTAGCTAGTGGGAAGCAAAGCAAAGCACAAGCCTGCTCGAAAGCCTCTAGCGCAAGCCGTCCGCTATTGCAAGCCTTCGATTAGGGGAGCAGACCCCAGCTCTAACACTTGGTGACCGGTGACAGAGAGGTCAATGTGCTCTGCAAAAAAGAAACAGGTTGGAACAGATTCGATGTTAGTTTTAGCCATGATGTTCACTGAGCAGTTATGTGTTATTCCCGAAAAGAAAGATTAATGCAGGGAAACAATAATACAAGAACACAGAAAGGAACAAGCCAGAGTGAGACAGGGAGTGAAAAGATACAGCGCGACAGCCGGGTGAGAAGGAAAAGAAAATACAAGTGACACTGTTTTTGAGGTACGAATTAAGGAGAAGAAAAACAATTAAAACGATAAATGTATGCAAACAGGAGAATAGACAGTACACAAACTAAAACAAAAATACCAAACTTACTTGAGTATATGAATAATGTCTCTTACAACGACTTACAACCACTTTTCTCCACTGAAATCCGTCATACGTTCACCGATAACACAGGAGCTGACACACAGCGACTGAGCTAAGCCGCAATTAAACCCGAACTCGAAAACTCTCCACTCATTCGGACCTTAGTCAGTCTCATTCAGTGATTGTAGCAAATCTTGGAAATATACCATTTGCGACATCAGCGACTCAAATTACCCGAGAACAAGTTTTAAACTTAAGTTAGCAATAATGTGGGACCTATGGGAATAGGGTTTGTAAAACAGAAATAACTCACACATGCATTTATTTTTTTCGAAAATTCACCTTCTTTTTATAAACTGTTATTTTCAAATGGGCGTGAAACATAAAAATAGGTTAAAAGAGAGAAAAAAATATCACCTGCTTTCGGTAAAAGTAAAAAAAATATTTTAAAAAAAAATGAATTCAAGACTCTGAAATTGATATGTCGAAGACTGTGCATTATTGCTATGGAGATACACAATCCCCACAGAAAGACTGAAATTAGTGAAATGCTCGGTAAAAAAGTAAAAAAAGTTCTCCCCATTCATGAATCGAACTCGGGTCTTCTGGGTGCGTCAGTGAGGTGCCGTACCAGAAAGCCACAGACGCCTGTGAATGTGGTCGATGGTGTATAAGAGGATAAGCCCGGGCTCAGGAAAAAAATAAAGTGAAGGGCAGTGCAGAGTACAAAAAACAAAGGGAGGGCGGGGGGGGGGGGGGGGAGGGGGGGTGAAAAAAAGAGAGCAAAAAGTAATAAGAAAAAACCCCCACTCTGCTCAGGATTTTATTCTATGACGTTAAGAGCAAGACAAGGAAAACTGAAGTGTGGAAATTGAAATGATGAGGTAAGCCGAAAGTTAAGAAGCCATAATAATAATGGTCAACGGAGACTGAGGCTGCTGGAACGTAGTTGAAAGCAATAAGCCAATTAAGGGCGAAAAAACACTCCACGTCAACAAGCTAATGCTGTCTAGAAAAGAGGGGAGTGTTTTGAGGAAGGGTTGATATGAACAAGCAAAATTGGAATGTGTGTGTGTGTGTGTGTGTGTGCGTGCGTGTGTGTGTGTGTGTGTGTGTGTGTGTGTGTGTGTATGTGTGTGTGTGTGTGTGTGTGTGTGTGTCCTTTAAGTGGCAAATTTTAAATCTTTGAAATGAAGTTTATATAATTCTACCCGCCATTGTCTCAGTGTATCCTAAAAGAAATCTTAACCTTTAAAAATCCACATGTGTGTAAATGTTAAGAATTATCACAGTGCAGTAATCTCCCCCCCCCCCCCTCTCTCTCTCTCTCTCTCTCTCTCTCTCTCTCTCTCTCTCTCTCTCTCTCTCTCTCTCTCTCTCTCTCTCTCTCTCGCTCTCTCTTTCTCTCTCACATCTATGCGGATTTTCAAAGGTTAAGTTTGCTTTTGGCTGTGTTTAAAGAAGTCAATACCTTGAAACTATGTCGGGTCGATAGTTCTGTCTATTTTCGCAATAGCTGTTGAGATTTTGAGCAACTTGTATACAAGAAGACCTCCTTTATGCAAATAATCTGATGTTACAAAACCTAACTCTGGGGCCGTGGTGGTTTGGCTCAAGTATCAGGCACAGCAAGACAAACGTAATAAGGGAGAATTTTTAAAATTCATATTCAATACAAGAAATGAAAGGGGATGCTATGATTTTTGAAAAGATGAGGAGTTTTCCAAGATCAAGGTGTTATCAGATTGTTTAACAAGGTTTGTGTGTAGATGGTGAAATTTAATTTACCTTGTGTGGTTATTATGTGCCTTTGTTTGGTTTTGTATTTTTTCTTTGTCTGTTAGTTTGTTTGTTTGTTTGCTTTTGGGAGTTTACAAAGAACGATCCTGTCTGATTTTGTTCTCAGATCCTTGTCCTCATCAACAGCTGCACTGCCATCACAAAAAAGTCACATAGAAAATCAGCTAAACAGTTCACGTAGGTTATTTCAACACACCTATTGCTATACTATCCTAAACTCATTGAAGACGCATATTTTTTTCAGGCTTGAAGTTGGACTGATTTGAGGTTTTCTATATCTGAAACTTAAAAAGGTATGCACTAAAATTGCAATCTTTGAAATATTCAAACTCCCGCTTCTAATTTGGGTATGTTGGTTAGAAATGTGCAGCAACAGTGTCTTCTGCTGATCAGTCATTTTACATGTTCCTACTTCTTCAAAGAGTGAACAACAACAATAGTCATAAAAACAGTAAAGAATAGCAAAGTCAAGTCAAAGCTGCCGTCCCTTTAACCTTCTCTCCGACTATATGTATAACTACCACAACAAAGACAACATCAACAAAATCCCTTTTCACTTTGCTAGGTTACAGCTGATTTGATCTACGACACACTCTACCTGACCTTCTGGAACCACATCCTCTTCATCATGCCGGCTGCGATTGGTCAAATGGTCTGGGTTTTACCCACTCCTCTGCCTGGTGTAGCGCCCACGCTCTTCGAGTTTGTTTGGCATCAGATAGCGGCTTTATTCGTCTTTGATTTTCAGTACTACGTATGGCACCTGACACACCACAAGGTTGGTAACTGACTTAATTTAACGGTGTACAAAATATCATTGTGTTAGTTTACGAGTCTGGTTACTTTAGATCGATCTTTCATAGCCAAAACAGGCTGTGTGGAACTCATCTCAGTCGAAAAGGTAGATAAATATCCAATAGATTGGAATGTATTTTCAACGAGGGTATCGAACTCGCGCCTCTTTCGTGCATTAATGAAGAGCCTTACTATTACTATCTGGACCCTGGTTCTTCATGTTATCCTTTCCTGTGACATTTCTACTGTGTTGAGGGCAGAAAACGTGAACAAATCAAATGCAAATAGAAGATCCCTTTTATTCATCCCCATGGAGGAACCTTAGGTAACAAAAGTGGACGTCTGCACATACTGCACACATAATTTCACAAATCATACCGGGCCATGGGGTGTCTCATTACTTCATCTCTGACAATTTCCCAAACACTGCATTCATGATCGCCTTGTTTTAGATGCCAATTCCCACAGTTACTACCCTACGAAAAAAAAACACAACTCACCTTATTTTTCCAACATTGTTGGGAGTCTGTATTTATTTCTAGACCCTGTCAAGACCAGGGGGCTCTCGTGGCCTAGGGGTTAAGGTGTTGGCCTCTCATTGAAAGGTCCCTGGTTCGAATCCGGGTTGCGACCGAAACATTTTCTTCTCTAAAATTGTCTCCTTTCACCTCCTTTCCTGCTCTCTAGCAATGTTCTGTTGTCTGCTTTCAATTCCACTTTCTGCCCCACCCCCTTACCTCCTTTGCCCCCTCCTCTGGGCTCCTGACTCTTTCTGCAGCCTTTCTACTGCTACTCCTTGGCTCCTCCTTACTGCTGTCTTTCTGCCACACCCCTGATCTTCTGGTAGGAAAGGTCTACACCTAGCCTTCTCGGACAAGGGCGAAAAATCTCGGAGGGCCCGTGTACAAGTTGCGCACTTTAAAGATCCCTTGGTGGTCTAAAATCGATAAGAGTAGGCTTCGGCCGCCACCGGGGCAAAATTCAAAATTTCCTACTAACTGAAAATATTAGATGTGTCCCGCGCGCTCATATGACCTATGCAGTTGCGAGCCCCGTAAAACATTTTACAACAAAAAAATTTAAAAAATGTCAAGACCAGCTTTAGCCACCTGAGTAGTATTTGGAAAGGAGGCAGCGTTGTTTGCAACATTTTTATCATCTCTCCAGTGCCCGTCAGGTTACTTGCAGCTTGTCACTGTTGTTTGATTTTTTTACTTTTACATCAAGGTACACATCGGCAGTAACCAACAGCCAGAAGGTGTAAATTTTGAGGTCAATGGCCGACTTTCATTTTGGTTTTGGTTTTAATCTAGAAACATCTATTACATGGAATGTCCATAACATCACACTGAGATGTTGAATTATAGTATTAAAGGAATTCATATTGATCGATTCCAACACAATGTTTAATGTAATATTCAATATCTTATTGATGTTTTAGACAACTATTCGAGATTTCTAGTATTTTGATAAGCAATCTGGATCCGTGGAATATTGTAAAAGATTTCAATTTAAAAAAATAGAATCAAGTGTCCTTTGATCGTGGTGTGTCCAGGTTTGTATGGCTAGAAGAATAAATGAAGAAGGCAGTTTCGTGCAAATTTACTGGAAAGTTGTGTGCAGTTTCAATATTTTTACACATCTTAAAGTTGAAGGGCCTCCTATACCTACAACGGAAAAGAGATCCAAATTGTCGAAGTCTTGCTGAAAGTGGGAAAAATTACCCACTAATGCGCTAGCACAGTCGCATCATGGCGTCTGCAGTGTCAGAGTAGCATATTATTTTCTCCTGTTCAGCTAAATTATGTTCAAATCTCCGTGCCGATGCGTCAGCCAAGCCTCGAGCCCACAGCTATTGTCCGCTTATGAAATGATCCTTTTGTTTCTTGTCTTTCTTCCAAATTCTCACAAACAGGGATTGCTCTCTATCATAGCACAGTATTACAAAGTTTAATAATGTAAATAGTCGGATCAAAAAGCTGTTACTTTGATTTTTGATATGTGTCCTTTGTTATAATGATAAGAACCGTTAAAACATAAACCCTTGACTTTCTTTGGAAAGCTAAATCGACTTAATTGGTCAGTCATTGTAGACCAGGTTTTACGTTGGGGTGAATGAACTTGGGGGTAAAAAGTTCTAGAACACCTGACTTCATGAATCATTGACCCCCCCCCCTCCCCCAGCTACCAAAATTGTTTGTACTACGAAGGGCACACGGATTCAAGGTGTCGTCGTTACCGTCGAAAAAAAACTGTTGGCAAATACTATCCTATAATTTTTATAGGGACGTAATGTGTAGTTTGCTCTCTGAGTTATTAATAGAAAAAAACTTTGAAATATGGACAGGAAATACGGTTTCCAATCATTTTGCCTCCACATTGCGCTGGAGTAAGTAGAATGTGTCCTTTTATTAGGCGATATGTTTTCGAATAGAAGATCCCTTGGTCATCATTGAACCGAGTTCCTGGGCCGTAGGCGGTCATATTTCATTGTTGTAGATGATAAAAAACCAATGCTGTGCGTTACTTTGAAAAGCCAAGATAGAAATGTACCAAAGGAATGACAAAGAAGTGTTTCGAGGCTTCCGGTGACCAGCAATGGTGTGCAGATATGTGAATGTGTCTTTTTTGTTACGTGTTAGAGTCGCGTCGTGTTTCTTTGTTTTTATGACAAAGGTTCAGAAAACCTACACAAAAGGTGACATGTCTTTCTTTTTCTTATTTCAAAAATATTTTTTTCCTTTCTCTAGCACAAGCCCTATTTTCATTTTTATCATAGAAAAAATATTTCCCTCTCTTGAGACTCGAGATCTTCTTTTCTTTTCTCTAAAACGTATACTTTTCCTTCATTTATAATAGATATATGTCATTTTTAACCATTTAAAAACAACGTTCAGCATATTAGTAACATAATAAAGAAATATAATTACAATATTTTTTCATTTTTATAAGAAGCACTCTTTTGCTTTGATAGAACAACTTAGCTTCCTTTTGTTGAAAATGTATTCACTACAGTTAAGCTCTGTCTCTGTTTTTTAACCCCTCCATAATGATCTTTCTGCTCAGATTCGGTTCTTGTACCGCCACATCCATGCGGTGCATCACAGGTACAATAGCCCGTTTGTGTGGGTCACTCAGTATCTTCACCCCTGGGAGCTGGTTGTCGTCGGTTTCCTCACCACCACCAACACCTGGTTCTTCGACTCGCATCCGCTCACTGTTTGGAGGTAAAATACTGCTAACAATCGATACAGTGTTAAATTAAATCTTTCACAGTCTATCATGACTCGTGAGAAGGTGCTCATTTCCTGTGGCTTGTTTCACCACAGGCGTATTGCCTTATCAGATCACGTCATGTGTATCTTGGAATAGACCAGGTCTTCCGTTCTCTAGTCGTTGTATTATCGTCACCCTCCCCGTGTTCTTCCTTCCTTTTTCTGAGTGTCTATCTGTCTGTCTGCTCCCCCCCCCTATCTCTATCTCTCTCTCTCTCTCCTGCTTTCTTTCTATGTATATTCTTTCTCTCTCTACCTCCCCCTCCCCTCTCTCTCTCTCCCACCCCCTCTCTTTCTTTCTCTCTCTTTCTTTCTCTCTCTCTCTCTCTCTCTCTCTCTCTCTCTCTCATTCTTACTCTCTCTTTCTCTCTCTCTCCTGCTTTCTTTCTCCCTCCTGTTTTGTTTCTGCAAAGCATTGTGCTCGCAACAATTTCTACCTCCCAGTCTGTACGTTCTAAAGAGTTTAACCTACAAGACTTTCTATACTAAACGTATGATTTTTAAAACGTGTGCCTTGAGCCTATGAGATTATCTCACGTATAAGAAGATCACAACTCATTCCATCCAATCTCATTTACAGATTAATGTCTCCATAACCAATCCTTAACAAAGTACAGACCAATGGAAGGCCAAAATTTGTTACTCATGCTTCTCCCACCTACTTTATGTGTCATTGCACAAAGCTAATTTCAAACAAATGTAAAGTTGAGCAGAAATGTTGCAAAGTAAATTTCATCTCAGTGCGAGACTAGGGCAGTTGAGTCTTTCGTTTCGTTCTACAAGTGCCAACTCTGAAGCAAACGTTGGTTTAACTTATTCTGTGTCTACACTTACCTCTTTTGCCTCCAATTTCCAGTGAGAGCAATATCATTATGATCCAGGAGTTTGATATCGATTTACGAGTGCTAGAAAGTGCATTGTATTAATAAATAGACAAATTCTGTCTATTCCTAATTGTTTTTAGCTGAGATGTCCCACGATGGTTTCGTTGGCTATCTTGCTTGATTTCTTTTCACTCAGAAACATTCAACAAGACCTGCAATTTCATTTCCACAGCTACATGATGGTAAGCATCTTGGTCAGCGTAGAGGATCACATTGGCTTCGATTTCCCATTCCTTCTGCACAACTTGGACCCAACTGGCACTATCGGGGGCTCGCCCAAGCACGACATGCACCATCAGAAACCCCTCACCAACTTCCAACCCTTTTTCAACCATTTCGACAAGCTCTTCGGCTCCTACTGCCCAGCGATGAGTGCGGGGGGCAAAAAGAGCAAAGCTTTGCAAGATTATGAGAGGAAGGTCAAAGACTGCAAGAAAAACCTCTAATGTTATGCTTACGGCAATGTTGCTTACAAAATTGATTTCTCTGCGACTGAGAAGTTTATTTTTTTCGCAAGGCTTTCATTTCTTTATTCTTTGTGCTTTTCACCATTTGGTCCCATTTTCAGCCTGAATCTTTATTTCTTGTCATGATTATCCAACAGTTTGCTTGCTTTGTGTACAAATCTATCTTAACTCTGTTCACAGATTGCAACATAAGCATCAGTATTTAGAAATCGATTTATTTGTCACTATTTATTTATTTTTTAGAATCATTTGAATATGTTTATACTGTTTATTAAAATGTGTAGGTATTCATTAAGGAATTCATTCTTCAATTACAAACAAAAATTCTTATTCAATTCACTTGTCATTTTCAGTATACTTTTCATTCTCTTTTGTAAATGTGTAATTCAAATATTGTTCAGTGTTAATTCTGGAAACGATCACTGTGCGGCGTTCTTGCACGATGAAAAATAGTCATGACGCTCAGACAGAGCTGAGGCCGAACGTTCTGTGTGATGTTTACATTTCGTTGGCAACTTATACAGGAGTTGTTCTACTAAGCTCAGAAAGCAAAACGCTTTAGGAGAGAGAAAAAAACCTGTTTCATTCTTTTAGCAGTTAGATCTATACCTACATTATGCTATTTTTTAATTTTTATTTATTATCATGATTATTTTTTGTGTATTTGCTTTTGTCAACATCTAGGATTTGTATTGCGGCCGAATTTTTTCTCGAGCTTATGCAAGTGATATCACAGAAAGATGTTTTTTCACAATATTTGGGTTAAGTACACCTGAACAGCTAGCCCACAATTTGGCGTTTGAATAAGTCTTTTGTACAGTGTTGGTTTGATCTATTGGTGGGGTTGATGATATAATGAATTATTTATACAAACCACAATGGACGAAAGTTCGTACCTGTAGATTATAATGTTCTGTACGGGAATATCCCGTTGGTGCACTTCTCTATCTTTACAAACTAGCATTTTTTGTGGCGAGTTGTGATGTTTTTTTTTGTTGCGAACATTTCATTAATTCTCTCGTGATTTGTGATACGTGGTCATCCTCATTTTGGGTGTAAGGGTTGAACCTTCCGCCATTTGTAGAAATTTTCAGAAAGAGATTCGGACGATTTGGCGGCAACTAACTATAAAGTACTATAAAGTACCGTACTATAATATTTGTTTTAGCTCAGAAAGTATGTTTAAAAAGGATGGATCTTCAACATAAAATAACGTTTTTCCTTTGATAATGGTTTAATATCCATCTCCGATAGAGGCAAAACAGAATAACTGCGAATGGCCGCAATGCCATAATTCTCGAAATATTGAACATTGGAGAAGGGGGTTTCGATTCATTTAGGACATATTATGGACACTCTTGATATCCGTTGAGCAAAAGATTAAAAATCTATCAACACGGAACAGCAATACTTTTTTCCTGAACTTGTGCAAACTCTTGGTAATTTTTCCTCTTTACATTATAATTTATCACTGCAGCAATTGGATATCGATTTCCTGCACGAGTAGAACACGTGTGCATGTGTGTGGGTGTATTTATGTATGTGTTTTTCATGCCCATATGTATGTATGTCGGTGTGTATATATAAACATACATAAATGTGTGTGTGTGTGTGTGTGTGTGTGTGTGTGTGTGTGTGTGTGTGTGTGTGTGTGTATGTGTGTGTGTGTTTCTGTCCGTGTGTCTGAATAATAATGTTTGTGGGCGCATACGAGCAAGCGTGATCCAGTGTGTATTAATATAGCATAATCATATTAATATTATATGTATTTCTGAACATAATATAACTATAAAGCTGTTTTGTCTTGAGTTATTAGAACATGTACTAGCGTGTGTCTTATTGTCCGTTCTCATGACGCTTCTCTCACTGGAAGCTGATGTTATGAACATAATTGGTTATGGCAGTTTTTTAACTCTCTCTCGAACCACTTGAAATGAACGATAACAAAATAAATTAATTTGATTTCCCTCTGAAGTAAAAGCGTCTCATTCTTTCATATCGGTGTGGCATCGTAAAGAAATCTGAATGAAATCAAAGAAACTGACATTTTTTTTCAGCCCACTGGGCAATTTTATCGTTTCCATTTTATCCTTAGCGTCTTTAATGTCCACTTAAAAGCAAATTTTGGGTTGATCTAAAGTACAAAAAGTGTACATTTCCAGTTCTCAAGCACACTCAAGCTTTGGACGCCACCAAACTTTGACGTTCATATTCTGGCTAATTTTACTTGTGACATATGGCGAACCCCAACCCCTTTCAGTCGTAGATATCTAGACTAGTTTAAGATAGATGAGTATTTATTTATCAATAAAAATAAACAAACTCTAAGATGATATCAATAACTTCATTAATATGCAACAAATATTGGCGAGAGCCTGATCCCGACACATTTGGCGTCGACAAGTCATATCTGACCTCCTGTCTTCCTGAATCCCGATCCGTATTGAATCTGTCTATTTATTGTGCTGCATTTTTAGCATTCAACCTCGACTAATTCAGAATACACCATGCCAAGGCCGGATCTACGAGCTGGGAGGTGGAATATAAATAGCTGGTTGTCACACTGATGGGGGCGCAGCTATCCAGCTGAAGTGATACTACTACTACTACTACTACTACTACTACTACTACTACTACTACTACTACTACTACTACTACTACTACTACTACTTCTACTACAACTCGCTGGTGCGGGTTATTGACCAATTTAAAAAGAAAGAGAAAGAAAGAAAAAATGAAAGAAATAGAATGAAAGAAAGAAAGAAAGAGAAAGAAAGAAAGAAGGAAAAAAGAAAGAAAAAACAGACATAATGAAAGACAGGCAGACAGAAAAACAGAAAGACAGAAATAAGAAAGATGGTATTGGCTCTCCTATAAAAGATGCCATATACGTCAAGCTGGGCTTTGAATTATTACTTTACTTTACTTTTCCGATCATGCCGTCATTTGGGTTCTAGCCCTTCGGTCTGTCGATATGGCCAAGAATTTACAGGTTTTAGTCAGCTGTGCTTTGTCGCAGTATAGAGTATTTCCGATGTCTGGGGAGACAGGTAGGTAGGTGCTACATAGGTCGCAAAGTGCTGATCAGTTAAATAGGTGGTGTGGTACTGTTTCATCCTGGTAGTCGCACAACGGGCAGTCGGGTGGGGTATCCTTCCGGATCCTATTAAGGTAATAATTTAGTGGTATGTGTTGTGTTCGCAGGTGAAAGATCGTGACTTGTTCTCTTCTACTCAGGGAATTTAATGCATCTTTAGAGTTGGGGGCTGTCATGTGTGCAAATACAGTTCTTCCAGTTTTGCCCATTGCCCATCCATTCAGCCACTGTTCCCTGGTGTTGCATTTGATCATGTTCTTGGCTTTCTGTTGTGATACTGGGTTGTGAGGTTGTGTTTGTGATGCTGCTGTCTTGGCAAGGGTGTCTGCTCTGTCGTTTTCTGAGATGTTTCTGTGGCCAGGTATCCACTGTAGTGCAAGGTCGACGGCATAGGTCTGTATGAAGATGTTGATTGTTTGAGCCACGGATAGGTAGGCTGGGCTTTTGAGATTCAAGCTTTCCAAAGCTTGGAGTACTGACTTTCCGTCTGTGAAGATAATAGTGTTCTTGATTTTGTTTGGATGTATTATGAAAATGTTGGTCAGGTGGAGGATTGCTGCTTCAATGGCGATGGCCTCAGCCTCGTAATTTGTATAGGAAGTACAACATGCAACAAATAGCTCCTCACATGGTTTGTCAAGATGTTCAATTCTTACCCCAAAGCCTGCGTTTATAGTTCTCTTGAAGGCTGGCCCGTCTGTGTAAATATGAATTGAATCACTAGGGTAGGAGTCAATTGTCTTCAGAGCTGTTGTCTTCAGTTCTACTGGGTCACATTCCTTTTTCACTGTCTCTTTAATGAGGGAAGTTTTGATATTGGCATTCTTGATGTTTGTGTTTGGGGGGAGTTCTGGTCTTAAGGGTTTCAGCATTTCTCTGTTACATGGAAGATGGTGTTTTTCTGCTAGTTCAGTGGCTGTGTCAAGTATTGATCTTCCATGAATCCGCTTCTTTGGTCGTCTCTGTTCAATTTTTTTCCTGTTTGGGTGGGGTTTTTTTTAGTCTTTTGTAGCGCTCACTCATCTCCACAACTGCTCCCTCTCTCCGCTAGTCCAAGGGTTCCAGGTTCGTATGGATTTCACATGCTGCATTTGGAGAGGATCTCAAAGCTCCGGAGATAAATCGTACAGCTTGATTTTGAATTTTGTCAAGAGACCACTCAGTTGGTTTGCTGCAGATTGTCTGTAAGGTTAGGTTATATTCCATGGCAGAGCGTACATAGACAACATATAGCTGTCTGAGTGCATCCTTGTCCGCTCCCCATGAAGTGCTAGCCAGTCGTCTGAGAAGGTTAAGTCTCTTGTTGGCCTTGGTCCTCAGGTTCCAGATATGGTTTTTGCATGAAAACTGTCTGTTCAGCTCTATCCCAAGGTAGGTCGGGTTTTCAACTTTTCTAGTTTGTTTCCCTCAAGTGAGATGGTGAGATTTTGCTTTGCAACGTTTTGGCTATTTGTAAAGACGGTGTAGATTGTCTTGGTATAATATGCTTTTAGTTTCCACTTGCAACAGTGGTTGTTGAATCTATCTAGATCCTCATTTGTAAGCCGTGCTCTGATGCCAGCTTGTTTAGTTGTATGCCAGATGGCTAAGTCGTCGCCATATAGGGCCTTCTCCGATTTCAGTATCTCAGGCAGGTCGTTGATGAAAATAAGGAAACGTATGCAGCTCAGAGAGGAACCCTGGGGTAGGCCCTCCTCCAGTACAGCTTTGGATGACACACCTTTGTTAATCCTGGTCTGGATCGTCCTGTCTGTAAGGAAGGTCTTCACCCATCTGTAGAGTTTCCCGTGGATTCCTGTCTATGTCATTTTCCACGGGAGGCCTTTTCTCCATACCCTGTCGTAGGCTTGCTGGAGATTAATGAATACTGCAACTGTGTGCTTCTTTTCCTGGAAGCCATCAAGGACTTTCTGACTGAGCCTGAAGAGCTGGTCATCTGTTCGTT